GTACCATCCAGATCCAGAAAAGAAGGAGCTGTTGATCTATGTGACCACGCGGATGAGTCTCAAAGCTCACCTGGTGTGACTCCATTTATAGAACACTCTAGAAAATGCCAACTAACTTATGGTGACAGAAAACAGATGAGTGGCTGGAGGGGAGGGATGAGCTCTGGGGGTCGATGGAGGTGTCACTCTCTGACCATGGTGATGGGGTCGCGAGTGCACACACGCAGCCAAACGCGTCAAACTGTACCCGTGAAGCGTGAAGTCGGGGCAGTCGCTCGTGGGCCACTCACAGCCTCACTCAGCAGTTCAGAGGAATGAGGATGTCCAACAGCAGAGCCGCGGGAGCGTGAGCAGGGCTGGACTTTGGGAGTGAGGCTTGAATCTAGATGTTGATGTGACACCTCTGGGCCTCGGTTTCCTCAGCTGTAAGGGGGTCATTCTGCCCGCCCTGAGGCCGTGTGCAGAGAGCCTGAAGGAATGCCAGTGGGTGGCACGCTCCTCCAAGCGCTTTGCACTCGGTGGTAAGAGCCCTTTAAAGGGCAGCTCGTATTAAAAAGATATCATATGTACGTATCATATGATCCATGTCTTTTCCTTGCAATTACACTGAAGTTGTGTGAAGTGATTAGTAAAGAGAGTCCGTTTGCACAAACTGCTGTAGACCCTGGCGTTTGTCAGTGTGCGTGTACTACTTCTTGGCTGAAAAATAAGCAGAGGCATTTATTTGTATATCATGTGTTGTATTTTTAGATTATTCATCATAACCAGATAAGTCCCTTACCTGGTTCTTGGCATTCTCAATACACAAATGACGGCGTGTCCCTGATGCGTGGTGGTGCCTATGCCCACGGACGGGACTTGGGGACTCTGCCCCACCTCCACGGTGCTTGTGAGTCTTGCTCTTAAAACTGGAAGCTGAGCGCTCAGTCATGTGACATTTTCAGTCACCTTTTCCCTTTGCTGCTTTCTCAGCCTTCGGCAAAACTTTTTTTTTTTTTTTTTTTTTTGGATATGGTTTCGTCTTCTCTAGAAACCGTGCAGCCTTTTACATCCTCCAGAGAGGATGGTCTTGAAAACTTCAGTGGCACACCCTCAAAGGGAGCTCGCTGACCTCTGGCAGCAGCTGTGTGAGAGACGAGTCACCCCTGACTGTGATGGTTCTCAGGCACAGTGACTGCCTGCATCCCGTGTGATACGTACATGAAGCTGTGTGCTGCCCTGGGCCATGGCAGCATGGGGTCGGCCAGGTTTCTCCGCACCCAGGCTGGGTTGCCTTTCCTGTAGGGGTGCACTGAGAGCGCTGGGGGCTCAGGAAGGACTGATGAAGGTGGCAGTGACCAGAATGTCCTTTTTTCTCTGTCACTTGCCTGTTTCAGCACCTTTCACATAAAACCCACACTACCCTTTGCATGCCGACCTTTGTACCGTGAACATGTGTTACCTTCTCCATTAAAAAAACAAAATGAACTGAGCATAAACAAAAGCCACACGGGTGGAGATTGCTTCCACATTTCGGCCTCATGAAGTTTTAGGTTCATGTAGTGAAAATGCATCAGATCCCAGGTACATAGTTGAACGCATACAAGGAATACAGACTCGGAGAAGTTCGGATAGGGAGAAGTCAGAGAGCATGTGCGATGGGGGACCCTCCCTGGAGCACCCCTAAGACGTGCTCCGTCTATGTCTGCTCAGATGTCCTCTGATACTGACAGAGCTCCCAGTACATCTTAAAAATGGACATTCTGGGTTTGGGCCACTTTATGGTAGTGCATCCATTCTCTCGTTAAGCTGGACCAGTGTCTGAGTTTTGTCTTCTGAAGCCACACAGGATAAGCCTGCTCCCCTCCCATGGGACAGCCCTCCAGCTAGTGGAGGCCTTGACGCAAATCTCTCCTCTGATAGAGCGGCCCCCATTCCTGCACCTGCTCCCCTCCCGCAGGTGCTGTGAGGGAAGAGAACCTGAGAGCCCTCAGAAGCTGGAGGAGAGGCAAGGACCCCACTTACTCTTAACAAGTGGATTAAGACACATGCCCATTGAACGCTTCTACCGAGAGGAGGTGAAGGCCAGAATAGAGGGGTACAGATCTTGAACTTTTCCAGAAACCTCGAACTGTAAGGTCACACTCACTGAACACGGGTATGATGATTTGTCTTTTACCCTCCTCCTTCTGAAAGGGGCTGTAAGACGGTCCAGGTCTAAAACATGGACCTCAGAACAGAGAGGTAAAGGTGAACGATCTCACTGGAAGGGATTAGCATCTTCCGAGACCCATGAGCGTGGCCAGCATTGTTCCTTAGAGCTGATGTCCCAAGACTGCGCTGGGCACAGGGGCCAGGTGTGGTGGGTCTATACCTGCAGGCGTGTGTGTTCATGCAAATTAGTACCACGTTTACTTTTCTGTCCGCCTCATCTTTTTTGCCTTGTGTCCAGCTCCAAGGTCTCTGTCCTGTATCGCTGAATCTTTCTTACCTAGCAGGACAGCTTGATGTTCATCCCAATCTCAGTGTCCAACTCTGATTTTCAACCCATCTTTCCAGCTTATTTGTTCATCTTTCTGAATTTAGTTTCTACTCTCAGTTGCTGGCAGGGTGGGCCAGCTCTGCTGGTGGCTTGGGGGACTGCCCTCTGGGGGAGAGGTAAGCAGAGTCACACACTGGGGGATCTGGCAGGGGACCAGGGGGTACGCTGACCCTGGCAGGTGGCCTTCAGTGGCTAACCTATGTTGATTAATACTGACAAATGTTTTCCATCCTGGAAATGTTCCATCCCAGTGATGATGGCCTGGTGCGGAGGGGCAGGCTCAGCTTCCCTCACCCCCCGGCACCTCCTTTTGTAAGGGGAGGGGAGTCCAAATGTGAATACCCTGCTTTGCACCATCTTCTTCTGCCTGTTGGTGCCCGGTCGGGGAGGTTGACTCACTGCCCGGCCCTGCTGAACTGTGAGGGTGGGGGTGGTTTTTCCACTGATGCCTGGCCTAAGTAGAGCAGGTGTTTCCAAAAAGATGTTTCTCTTGTTAGGTTACTGTAAGGTTAGGAACAGTTCTCAAGACCCTTCTCAGTCCTCACACCAATAGTAAATGGGGAGTGGGGTCCCAAGACCACCCTCAGGTTGGATAATTCACTGGAAGGACCCGCGGAGCCCTCGGAAAGGTGTTGTACCCACCGTTATGGCTCATCGCAGCAAAGGATTCAAATCACAAGCCAAGGGAAGAGGCGCGGGGGGAGGAGTTGTCCTCTCTCAGGGGAGGTCTGGACAGGGCCGACGCCAGCTTCCATTGATGTGTGACGGCGTGCGTGGAGTACTCCCCCCAAGCCTTCACGTCCACAGTCTCTCCTGGGCCTTTGTCATCAAACAGGTAGACTCCCCACGTGGCTGACCTCAGCCTCCAGCCCCTCTGGAGGTCGGGCTGACGCTGGGACCCAAAGCCCCTCGAGCCCCCAATCACACTCTTAGCCTAAGGCCCCCGGGAAACAAAGACACTCCTGTCAGGCAGACCCCCCCCCCCCCGCCCCGCCGAGGAGCCGCGGGCAGGAGGGGTCTCTCTGGGCAAGGTTCAGCCCTTTACTGCACCACTCTTGCCTGTCCTTTCCCTGGGCTCTTCTTCAGAGGCTCTTCGTGGAGCTTTTTCCCTGTGCCTGATGGCTCTTCAGGGTTGGAGGCAGTGCCCTCTGGGAGGTGGGACAGGCTCTTCCTGCTCTTGTTCCTCGAGTAGCCAGGTCCCTGGACTGTCCTTTCCGAGCCTTCCTGTGCCTGTTTGTTGTGTCACATCTCTAGTTGTTGCGTTGTGAGTGGGCAGATCTGTAATGGAGTGGAACCCCGGGAGGCCCTGGGCGTGACTGCACATCCTCCCATCCCCGGGCTAGAGTCCTCCCCCGGGGTTACCTGCCACCTCTCCAGCGTTCTCTGTCCCAGCACTCGATCGGACACCACATCTTCCCTGTGGTGCCCCTAGCACTTCGCCAAGTACCCGGGACAGAGTTGGTGCTCGGCATATCTGTCAAACGGGATGGGCTCCTCTGGCATTTCTGGTATTGACCTTGACTGTTGTCAAGGACAGCCTTCAGTGGAAGTTGTAAGGGAGCCACAAATCCGTTGTCCGACCTGCATCTCCCCATGCACAAGGGTGGCCGCCTGCCCCTGAGCCAGTGGGCCTGCTGGTGGGCCTGCTGGTCGACCTTGCCAGGGTGCAGCCCCAGCACCTGCTGACATTCACAGCTGCCAATCTGCACCTGCCTCCCTTCACCCTCCCACCACCCTTTTGTTTTTGAAGATCAGGCAGCCTTTCTCCATCTCAGCCGTGGCTCTGCCACTGTCTCGCTCCTCTGTGGGGACACCAACAGTGCTCTTAGGGCCTGGAAAGCTCTCGCATGGGCCCCCTTTCATCTGCCCGGTGGACCCTCGCTGTCCCCACTCTGCCCTTGAGTGCACTCCACCCTTTCCACATAGAGGGGGACAGAGACGGTGCACAGCGCCCAGCACACGTCAGCGCACACGGTGGCCTGTCTCTGGTGTGGTTATTGGCATTAAATGTGCACAGCGAAAGGTTTTTCTCAGGGGCTGGGACGTCTTTAGCATTTTTATAAGTTGTAGCATGCATTCAACTTTAAGCTCGTGTTTTGGTTTCGCTGACCACCTCATCTTCCTTCTTGGCATTTCCTACGCATGAGGCTCTGAGTCCCTGCCTGAGCCTGGTCTGTCAGCGCCCCCTTCTCAGTTCAGTGATAAAGGATCTCCAGCGACCTCACCAGCCCACACCCGTCCTTCTGGGCCCCCTGGGCCCCTCGAAGCAGTGTTAGAAGCAGCATGGAGGGGCTGAAGCTCAGCAGGCAGCCTCACAAAGCTTAAGTCGTGGAGGATGGAGGTGTGAGGGGCGGGGCAGGGACTCGGACCACGATGGGAGGTCTGAGATATCAGCAAGCACCGTCGGTGGGAGTCCCGACTGCAAGAGGACCCCTCGCTGGACTGTGGTCTTTAACGTAGCTCTGTGTTACCTTTCCAGGATCCTGAGAGCAGTGTCCCGTCTCCATGAAGCTGACGTGACCGCATCCAGGTGAAAGGGCCCCCCGCCCCGTCCATGGACAGAATGACCAAAACCCGGCTCTTCCGCCTGTGGCTGGTCTTGGGGTCCGTCTTCATGGTCCTCCTGATCATCGTGTACTGGGACAATGTGGGCACCGCCCACTTCTACCTGCACACTTCCTTCCCCAGGCCACACCCCCTGGAGCCACTGCCCACCCCCGCGCACGGGGCAGAGAAGGGGTTCACGTCAGACGTGGACACGTTTCTGCAGAAACTCTTCAGTGGCGGCCTGAAGCAGAATGCCCTTTCTGGTAAAAGGACGGAGCAGCCCTCCGTGCCGGCCTCCAGCAGGCCCGTGCTGAGCAACGCGGAGGAGAGCGTGAGGGGCTATGACTGGTCCACCCACGACGCCCAGCAGGGCCTGGACCCGGGGGGGCAGCAGGCCGAGAGGAGGAGCGTGCTCAGGGGGCTCTGTGCCAACGCCAGCTTCGTATTCCCCACCAAGGAGCGCTCCTTTGACGACATTCCTAACTACGAGCTCAACCACCTCATCGTGGACGACCGCCATGGGGTCATCTACTGCTACGTGCCCAAGGTGGCCTGCACCAACTGGAAGCGCGTGATGATCGTGCTGAGCGAGAGCCTCCTGGACCGCGGAGTCCCCTACCGCGACCCCCTGGACATCCCCCGGGAGTATGTCCACAACTCCAGCACCCACCTGACTTTCAACAAGTTTTGGCGTCGCTACGGCAAGTTCTCCCGCCACCTGATGAAGATCAAGCTGAAGAAGTACACCAAGTTCCTGTTTGTGCGGGACCCCTTCGTGCGCCTCATCTCGGCCTTCCGCAGCAAGTTCCAGCTGGAGAACGAGGAGTTCTACCGCAAGTTCGCCGTGCCCATGCTCAAGATGTACGCCAACCGCACCGGCCTGCCCGCGTCCGTCAGCGAGGCCTTCAGCGCGGGCCTCAAGGTGTCCTTTGCCAACTTCATCCAGTACCTGCTGGACCCACGTACCGAGAAGCTGACGCCCTTCAACGAGCACTGGAGGCAGGTGCACCGTCTCTGCCACCCCTGCCAGATTGACTACGACTTCGTGGGGAAGCTGGAGACCCTGGACCGGGACGCCGCCCAGCTCCTGCGGCTCCTCAAGGTGGACAAGCTGCTTCACTTCCCCCCGAGTTACCGGAACAGAACTGCCAGTAGCTGGGAGGAGGACTGGTTTGCCACGATCCCCCTGGCCTGGAGGCAGCAGCTTTACAAACTCTACGAGGCCGACTTCGTCCTCTTCGGCTACCCCAAGCCCGAGAACCTTCTTAGAGACTGACGGCATCGGGGCGGGGGGCAGCCCCGGTCTCCGGGACAAACGGGGCCAGACGAGGGGTCTGCCGTAGCACGACCTTCCTCCCAGGGATGGGGCGATGCGTTGCCGCGTATATTTTTTTATGGCTTTGCGTCCCTCCCGGTCTGACCCACGGCGCAGTTCCACAACGCTCCCGTTGACGAGGCAGCTGGAAACACCCGGAATCGACCGTACCCACGCTCCGGTTTTTAAAATCACCTACGATTTTGCAATCTGGACCTACTGTTGACTCCACTGCCTATATTCCTTGAGTACTGTGTTAATATTGTTTTTTAAGATTAATATATTTCAGATATTTAATATGAAAAGTGGAGGAGAGGATGGAGTAAATGTTACGTCTGCTTCTGCCGCCTGCTTCCGTGGTTATTCTGGTAGAGCGACAGGGGCTCGGTCAGGGGCTCTGAGGGACTTGACCTCAGAAACTCGGGTGAAGGCAGGGAATTTTCATGGTCGTCTTCAGCAAAAAGGAGGAGCCTGCTCTTGAAATCAGGACTCACCTGTATTTTTAAAAGGGTAGCAGATCCTTCGCAAGCGAAAGCTCTCTGACCGTGTGATATTTCTGAGAAGGCAGATCGGTTAGAGAGGGTCTTCTGCTTGAGACCGTACCTCAGGGCACAGTCACGGAAGCAGGACATTAGCCGCAGCTGTTCCCACGAGGTTATCAGTCATGGACGTAAGGATGTGCCGTCCCAGGGATGGTGTGAGTACGAGTCTGTCCCGAGAATCTGTTCTCTGCCGTCAGCAAGGTGAGGCTGGGGTGGGATTGTCGTCACAGTCTTGGCTGGTCGGCTTCAGCTCCCGTGACCGTCCCCCTTGAGGCTGTGACTGACCCTGGGATCACATTTGGTGGTCCCGACTCCGTAGCAGTGTCTGTCTGGGCTGGGCCGGGAAGGCTCTTTCTAAGCATCTGGTTCAGACTGACGTGCAGTTTGGGCCGTGACCCTGTAGTTGGTGGGAGGCGTGCAGTTGTTCACGGTGTGTGGGCCTCAGGTGTGACCTTGTCTCCTTAATCGGTGGCATTTGGTCCTCGAGGCCCTGTTCCCGAGCCGCTAGCCACACACCGGAGAGTCCTCCCGCTGGTGCTCCACCGTGGGTGCTGTCCTTGCTCTTCTGGCTCCCGGGTGGCACGGAGGTTTGAGCCCATGGCCTCTGGGTGCCCGCCTCACAGGCTCGGGCTCCATGGGGCCAGAAACCACATTTTCCCTTCTGTAAGTTCCCCTTTCTATAAAACAGTTGGCAGCAAAGATGCTCCAAGTCAAGGAGTCCGGTCCTAGAGTCACTGGAGAACCATCACCGTGCTGGGGACTCCTGGGACACCTGCTCAGCCTGTAGTTGGCCGTGGCACCGCGAGCACAGGGCTTCAGGTCACCAGGCAGATGGGGGGGCTCTGCCTTCGGGGAACCCTGTGACCCTATGATGTGAGACGAGAGCAGGGACCCCCGGCCCAAAGGCCTTAAAGAACAAGGCATCAGGAGGTGAGGTGAGGTGAAGGTGGGCATCCTGAGGAAGGCAGCGCTTGAGCCTGAAGGATGGGGTATGGCTTGGACATCCGCGGTAGAGCGCGTGATGTCAGCACGGGTGTGGGGCACGTCTGGAGACAGGTGGGGTACTAACCGCTGGTGTTCCTTGCCAAGCGCCTCCTTCACGTGTCGTTCCACATCCCCTCGGTCCTGTACTCTGGTGAGGACCCTCGCAGCAGAGGTCAGTGGAGCCAGGATTTGGAGCTGGCGAGCTTCCCCACCACCCCCGGGATGCGGATGGGCTGTGAGTGTGGAGTCTGGCAGCCTTGGCTGTCAGGCCCGGGACCTGAGATTTCACTGAGGCAGCAGCGAGCCGTGGTGGAGGTTTGGGGTTGGAGGAACTTGGGTTCTTTGGGGCCAGCGTGCTCCTCCTCGGGGTGAGGAGCGGAGGGGCCAGGAGGCCGGTCAGCAGGCGATGGCAGCCGCCCCGCTCCGAAGGGGCCTGCACAGGGATAGAGGGGTGACGGTATTCCGGAGAGGTTCCCCCCGAGCTGCCGCTGTCCTTCTGGTGTGTGACGAAAGAGAAGTGGGAAGAAGTCAGGAAAGCACAACACAGACCTTTCTGCTGACCTGGTAACATCCCCCCACCGATAGTTTTATCGTGGTCAAATATGCATAACATAAAATTTATCATCTGAACCACTTAAGTGTCTGTTTCAGGGGCACTGAGGGCATTCACACTGGTGTGCAGCCCCCACGGCCTTCGGGCTCCAGAACTTCTCATCTCCCCAGAGTGAAACCCTGAGCCCATTGCTCCTCCCCCTGCCCCCAGCGCCCACTCTCCTGCTCGCTGTGTTTGTGACTTTGACGACTCCAGGGACCTCACAGAGGTGGGATCCTACAGTGTCTGTCCCTTGGCCTCTCAGCATCATGTCCTCAAGGTCCGCCCCTGTGATAGCAGGTGTCAGCACGTCCCTCCTTGTAAGGCCGCGGGGTGTTCCTCGGCGTGGATGGGCCACGTTGTGTGCGTCTGTTCGTCCATCAGTGAACACTTGAGCTGCTTCTCCCTCTTGGCTGCTGTGAGCAGCGTTGCCATGAACATGGGTGTGCAGATACCGGTTTGAGTCACTGCTTTCAGTTCCTTTGGGTAAGTACCCTGAAGGGGATTGCTGAGTCATATCTGACCTGATCACTTTTTATACACTGAATCAGTACGGGGAGACATGCAAACAACATGTCACGGTGCTAGAGGTGAGTTGGGAGGATGTCCTGGGAAAACAAGACAGTATTTGGGATCGTTTCAAATCTTTTTTACGTGTATTAAGTACACTGTCGGTTTCAGTCCTGTGCTGTAATTTTGAGTAACTGGTTTTCATCAAAATGGACCATAATGTTGAAATAACAATTCTGAAACACTTCTTCAGCATGGCGCTTGGCATCTGCCTCTTGTGATAGTTTCTCAGTGAAATGTGTTTATTTCAAGAATGTTCAGACAAATGTCAAAATTCACTGGGTTCTGGGCTTGTTAAGGGCAGGGCCCACCTCTGCATTTCTTTATTCTTGGTTCCACGCACAATTGCACTATAGGTCAGGTTCCGTGGGTGTCGGGGGCGTGTTTGCAGGGACCATGGGAGCAGGTTCCTGCGGCGTCCACACACCCGTCCAGATTCCTGTGCCACCAGCTGGTTCCGACCTGGGGGACGACTCAGGATGTGATGGCAGAGAAAGTCCTCATCGGCCATCGGCCTCCTCCTTCCACGGGGGAGGGGGGGCCCACCTCGTCCCTTTCTGGGGTGCCTCTTATTCTTTGCCATTTCCCTGACCACAGAATTGCGTCCTGTAAAGAAATTAGGCTCTGTATGTTTTTTGTGTGCAGACACTGTAAAAATTTTTTAATTGATGTTGCAATTAGCTAATTTAACCAAAGGATTCCATAGAACTGATTCTTTAACTCTACTTACCTCTCACCTCCAGCCATTACTGACACATTTGCCCACTGTCCTAATTATGCCATGGGCTGTGGTACAGGATCCTCCCCATGTTGTCACTGAGCCCCCAGCACGGCCACCAGGGCACTGTGCCCGTTTACAGTTGGGGAGAGGGATGTGGGATTCGCCCAACGCCCGAGGCATCTGTGTGTGTGTGTGTGTGTGTGTGTGTGTGTGCGCGTGTACGTGTGAGAGAGACACCGTCAGTCCTCGTTCCTCTAAAAATAATGCACATTTCCATGCATCGACGCAGAGTTCCCACCACGGCTTCTGATGCACACTTACGGGGCCTTGCAGGGCTTTCACCCTCTGTTTTGAAGGATTTTCCACTACTAGAAGAATTTTAAGTCTTCTCAGCAAGGGTCAGGTTCTCGTTTCCTCTTCTTGGTGCGGTTAGTGTGTACCTGGGCACCTGCCCCCTGTGCTACGGTACAGGTGGGGCTTCCACCTGGCTCTGCCGCTGGTGGGAAGCAGTTAGAGGAATGCAGAGGAGCAGTGCCTGCCTCAGGGCGCCCCCCCCCCAGGGCATGGCTGTCCCCAGCGGGTCAGGCGGCAGGGAGCCGCAGGGGAGGCGTTCCCACTCCTGGGTGCGACAGGAGCCTGAGAGCGGGGGAGGCAGAAGCTGTGAGGAGCATGGCTGTCCACATGCCTGTCCCGTGAAGCTCCGTTTCAGAGCACACGTGGAGCCCCCCGGGGTGGCCGAGACCGCCGTCCCATGCTTCTGTTTGCAGCCGAGTCTCTGCACTCAGGCGTGGGCAGGGACAGCCCCGGCCACAGTCGGAGGCCGGGCCCATGGTCACTGCGGAGGGAGGGAGGGAGCGAGCGAAGGGGTGGCGTCCCTGAGCCTGGTTCCGAACCGGCTGGAAGGGCTGCCATCATCCTCTCTGGGTGTTTGTAAGGTGACCGTGGCTCCTGGAGGTGCTGTGACTGGCCCTGAGTGGCCTTAGAGCTCACTGCTTCTGACCTCCAGCACTTTCCAAGCACCGCAGGGTCTGTGGGGTCCAGAAGGGCAGCTTGCACTGTTCCTGGAGAAATTAGCTGTCCCACGTTTCAGAAAGGAACGGTGTGTCTTCATTTCCTTCCTGTGCTCTCCTCTCCCCTGAAAGATGCTGGGGCTCCCCTGCCCTCCTCCCAGAGAGGGTGAGGACTGCTGTGTCCATGCGCACCTCCCACAGCCGCCTCGAGGCGGCCGTGGGCATCAGGAACGGCCCAGCTGCCCTCCCCCTCCCCTGCCCTCGTCCCAAGAGGGCTGGAGCCTGGAGTGGAGGACGCAGGCGGGCTGGTCTGGCCCTGGAGGTTGGATGGCTCGTGGACACCCACCCCCGCTCCTGTGGGTCCAGGTGACGTGTGTGTTTGGTGACTGTGCAGGTCCCCTTCTCCCGCGGGCCCTTCAGAGCTGTCCTGGGCACCACCTCATCTGCACTGTGAGGGGAGCTTGGCTCTGGACCAGCAGTGTGGGCCCGGTTTTGTAACACGTAGCACCAGACGGGTTCCCAGCGGCCACACGGACGTCCCCAGAGCCTTCTCCTTCAGTTTCTCTGGGGGGAAGCTCGGTTTCTGGTGGGACTTCTCTCCTCTGTGTGTGCTTTCCTGGTGGACAGCTCGGGGGAGGGGGGCGGTCTGTTCTCCTTGGTGGTCCTGTCCTGCCCGGAGCAGGTTCCCAGATACCACGCAGACCCCAGGGGGTCTGCTCACCCAAGCAAATTCTCCAGCGGTAATTACTGCCCATTTATTTATAAACTACACATCCTTTTCTGCCCACCCCGTAAAACTGGGGTAGCATAGATGATCAATCTGTTCAGATGAAGGACCCCTTGTGGTAGATGCCTCTTGTTCTTGCCAACACACATTCCTCCTGGTCAAAGAGCCCAACTCTCTCCTTCCCTCCCAGCT